ACAAACACATAGAAAGATAAAACAAATATACATATATATATATATGTAAACATAAAGAATGAATAACAAACAGCAATAAATGAACAAATAAATAGCATATCTAAACATCTATATACAGTATGAATATCTATATATATATATATACTCAATCAAAAACCAGTGATGGTATAAATGGCAAAAAATGATTACAGTGTCAGTATAGTACATGTGGCTTTTTGTTTTGTTATTTATGTATGTTCACCTAATGTAATGTCCTAGGATTTTTTGAAACTTTGAGACATAATGTACCCAAATACTAATGTAGAGATATATGTGTATTCATTTGGTGTGGTGTTATTGGTTGGCTTGGGGTTACTGTTTGCAAACAAAACCCATTGCATGCCAACCAGCCCTATTAGGTACTTTGTAAAATAAAACAGTGCTTTAAGCCCCCTTAAGGTACCTTTTCATTTTTTGGTAAAACGTAAAACAAATAGACATATATATAGATGTCTCAAAATGTCTAAGGCAAATGTTTGATTACAGTTTCAGTATTGTACATGTGTTTGTTGATGTGTTGTTTTTGTATGTTCACCTAATGTAGCTGCTCTTGTCCTAAGACTTTTTGATGCAACTTCAATACATAATGTACCCAAATACTATTGTGGAAATATGTATGTGTATTCATTTGGTGTGGGGTTATAATTTGGTTTGGGGTTACTGCATTGCAAACCAAAACCAGTGCATGACAACCAAACCATGCTTTGGGTTACTTTTTAAAAACCATTTAAGCATGGTGAGTGTAACATGTCAAAACAATTTGAACAATAAACAGCCACTGGTTTTTTTTCCCGAGAGCGTCTGAGCGCAGGGTTCTTCCAATAGTGGGGGCCTGTAAAACATTTTCTCATCTTCACATCTTCTCATCTTCACATCCTCTCATCTTCACATCTTTTCATCTTCACATCTTCACATCTTCTCATCTTCACATCTTCTCATCTTCACATCTTCTCATCCTCCCATCTTCTCCTCATCTTCTCATCTTCACATCTTCTCATCCTCCCATCTTCTCCTCATCTTCTCATCTTCACATCTTCTCACATCTTCTCACATCTTCTCACATCTTCTCACATCTTCTCACATCTTCTCACATCTTCTCACATCTTCTCACGTCTTCTCACATCTTCTCATCTCACACCTTCTCCTCTTGCCCTCTTGCCCTCTTGCCCTCTTGCCCTCTTGCCCTCTCCTTCTTTTCTATTTCTTTCTTGAAGGCGGGAGCAGGGGCAGTGGCAACGAGACGGCACGAAACGCAACCTTTTCGCACGAAATGAGGTTCGATCGCCAAAAACTGAGGTAAAATTGCGATTTCAACTTGTCCGGCGCAACCCTTTCGCACGAAATGAGGTTCGATCGTCAAAAACTGAGGTAAAATTGCGATTTCAACTTGTCCCGCGCAACCCTTTCGCACGAAATGAGGTTCGATCGTCAAAAACTGAGGTAAAATTGCGATTTCAACTTGTCCCGCGCAACCCTTTCGCACGAAATGAGGTTCGATCGTCAAAAACTGCTGTAAAATTGCGATTTCGTGTTTCCGGTGGACTGTTTCGCACGAAATGAGGTTCGATCGCCAAAAACTGAAGTAAAATTGCGATTTCAACTTGTCCCGCGCAACCCTTTCGCACGAAATGAGGTTCGATCGTCAAAAACTGTGGTAAAATTGCGATTTCAAGTGGTCCGGCGCAACCCTTTCGCACGAAATGAGGTTCGATCGTCAAAAACTGAGGTAAAATTGCGATTTCAAGTCGTCCGGCGCAACCCTTTCGCATGTAAAAGCGCCTGTGTGTAAAAGCGTCTGTGTGTAAAAGCGTCTGTGTGTAAAAGTGTCTGTGTGTAAAAGCATCTGTGTGTAAAAGCTTCTGTGTGTAAAAGCCCCTGTGTGTAAAAAGCGTCTGTGTGTAAAAGCGTCTGTGTGTAAAAGCGTCTGTGTGTAAAAGTGTCTGTGTGTAAAAGCGTCTGTGTGTAAAAGTGTTTGTGCGTAGAAGTGTTTGTGCGTAAAAGTGTTTGTGTAAAAGTGTTTGTGTGTAAAAGCCTCTGTGTGTAAATGTGTTTGTGTGTCAAAGCGTCTGTGTGTAAAAAGCGTCTGTGTAAAAGCGTCTGTGTGTAAAAGCTTCTGTGTGTAAAAGCTTTTGTGTGTAAAAGCGTCTGTGTGTAAAAGCGTCTGTGTGTAAAAGCGTCTGTGTGTAAAAGCGTCTCTGTGTAAAAGCTTCTGTGTGTAAAAGCGTCTGTGTGTGTAAAAGTCTCTGTGTGTAAAAAGCGTCTGTGTGTAAAAGCGTCTGTGTGTAAAAGCGTCTGTGTGTAAAAGGGTCTGTGTGTAAATGTGTTTGTGTGTCAAAGCGTCTGTGTAAAAAGCGTCTGTGTGTAAAAGTGTTTGTGTAAAAGTGTTTGTGTGTAAAAGCGTCTGTGTGTAAAAGCTTCTGTGTGTAAAAGCGTCTGTGTGTGTAAAAGTCTCTGTGTGTAAAAGCGTCTGTGTGTAAAAGCGTCTGTGTGTAAAAGCGTCTGTGTGTAAAAGTGTCTGTGTGTAAAAGCGTCTGTGTGTAAAAGCTTCTGTGTAAAAGCGTCTGTGTGTGTAAAAGTCTCTGTGTGTAAAAACGTCTGTGTAAAAGCCTCTGTGTGTAAAAGCGTCTGTGTGTCAAAGCGTCTGTCTGTAACAGTCTCTGCGTGTGAAAGTGTTTGTGTAAAAGCGTCTGTGTGTAAAAGCGTCTGTGTGTGTGTAAAAGTCTCTGTGTGTAAAAGCGTCTGTGTGTAAAAGTCTCTGCGGGTAAAAGCCTCTGTGTGTAAAAGTCTCTGTGTGTAAAAGAGCCTGTGTGTAAAAAGCGTCTGTGTGTAAAAGCGTCTGTGTGTAAAAGCGTCTGTGTGTAAAAGCGTCTGTGTGTAAAAGCGTCTGTGTGTAAAAGCTTCTGTGTGTAAAAGCGCCTGCGTGTAAAAAGCGTCTGTGTGTAAAAGCGTCTGTGTGTAAAAGCGTCTGTGTGTAAAAGCTTCTGTGTGTAAAAAGCGTGTCTCCATACTAACAACAGAAGACTCTGCTCCTCTACGCTCTCGGGCCATCCGTCGTCTAGTAAATGAAAAGACTTACAAAGAATAGTAATTTGGGGTTACTTCTTTTAAAATGATCCCAGCAATAGATCCCTGTGGTTTCTTTAAACTTGCAATCCAGCCTTGAAAGTTTGCAGTGAAACTTTCAACCCATCCCTGCAAGTTTGCATTGACAGTTTCAATCAAACTTGCAACCTCCCCTGAAAGTTTGACTGAAAGTTTGCAACAAACTTTCAATAAACTTTCCGGGCAGTAACCCAAAAATAAAGAAAAACCTTGTTGTTTTTCTAAAAAAATAGTGTTTATTTTCTTGAAAACCATGTTTTTTGTTTCGAACAAATGTGTTTTTTATTTCAAAAAATGTTTTTTTTCAAAAAATAAATAGGTTTCATGTATGTTGTTGGTTGAGAAAAATCTTTAAAACAACATACCAAAGGACGTAGAAGGTTGTGCAAAGTACACTGTGGGCCATCTGCTTCATCAGGTGAACAGGCCCACCAAGCATAGCATCAGGTGCCTTGGTTTGCTCACAAATAACCACAGGGATCTATTGCTGGGATCATTTTGAAAGAAGTAACCCCAAATATAGGTTACTATTCTTTGTAAGTCTTTTCATTAAAAAACAATGGCTGTTTATTGTTCAAATTGTTTTGACATGTTACACTCACCATGCTCAAATGGTTTTTAAAAAGTAACCCAAAGCATGGTTTGGTTGTCATGCACTGGTTTTGGTTTGCAATGCAATAACCCCAAACCAAATTATAACCCCACACCAAATGAATACACATATATTTTTCCACAATAGTATTTGGGTACATTATGTATTGAAGTTGCATCAAAAAGTCTTAGGACAAGAGCAGCTACATTAGGTGAACATACATAAACAACACATCAACAAACACATGTACAATACTGAAACTGTAATCAAACATTTGCCTTAGGCATTTTGAGACATCTATATGTCTATTTGTTTTATGTTTTCCAAAAAAATGGAAAAGGTACCTTAAGGGGGCTTAAAGCACTGTTTTATTTTACAAAAGTACCTAATAGTGCTGGTTGGCATGCAATGGGTTTTGTTTGCAAACAGCAACCCCAAACCAAATAATAAACCCACACCACATGAATACACATATGCCTCCACATTAGTATGTGGGTACATTATGTCAAACTATGCCTTAAAATGTCATCAAAAAATCATAGGGCAAGAGCAATTACATTAGGTGAACAGACATAAATAACAAAAGAAAAACACATGTAAATACAGAAAACTATATCAAATATTTTCATTACACATTTTTGAGACATTCCCATTTCTATTTGTTTGCTTTATTTTGCTAAAAAAATAGAAGGTACCTTAAGGGTGGTTTAAAATACCTTTCATATTACAAGGTACCTTATAGGGTTGGTTGGCATGCAATGGGTTTGGTTTGCAAAGCTGTAACCCCAGGCCAACTAATGACTAATAACACCACACCACCTGAATACATGTGTATTTTTACATACATATAAATAAATAAATAAAAATGAATAAATAAATAAATAGATATATATATATATATATACACTTCCGCATTAATGGCCTTATTAGCCGACCCGCACCGGACAGCGCTCAGTCTTTTTACCATCCTTGGAGCCTGTCCCGTGCCCTTTGACACAGAGGCAACGCCCTCTCCTCACCCAAATGCAAGTTCCTCACAAGAGGCCTCCTGCTTGATGGCGAGGGGGCGGGAAGGTGGGAGCCGAGCTTTTGCGGCCACCATGCACGTGTATACCCCTCATGAATGAGTACGACATACACTTCCGCATTAATGGCCTTATTAGCCGACCCGCACCGGACAGCGCTCAGTCTTTTTACCATCCTTGGAGCCTGTCCCGTGCCCTTTGACACAGAGGCAACGCCCTCTCCTCACCCAAATGCAGGTTCCTCACAAGAGGCCTCCTGCTTGATGGGCTCCTGCCCTTCCACGCGTCCCTTCCTGGTTTGCCGCCAAAAAGGCAGCAGTGGCGCGATGGAGAAGGGGTTGGGCAGAGGGAGGGATGGTAATATTGGCCAGGGCCTGCATGCCAGTGTCCAAATACAATCTGGCAGTTTGGACATGAGCCCATCGGCCACGGCTGACCAGCTGATCCAAAGAGGATCCAGCCTTGTAAGCGCTGGTAGCGCCACCGCGCCTGAGACTGTATGGGTAGTAGGCCATTCCATCCAACTTCAGGCTTTGGATGATGGAATGCCAGAGTGACATAAACTGTCCTCGGGATTGCCCCCACAAAAAGTCTCCAGGAGCTTTGTTACGAAGCAGCGCGGTGAACGCCTGGATGGTTGCACGTTCCTGGATTTCCACTCGTTTCAAAGGTAAGAAGTTGCGCTTCCCCGTCTTAGATGGGGGAAGATAAAGCACCCCACTGTTTCGGGTGAGGATCACATCCTTTGCTTGGATGCTGAGCAACTCCCCTGTACGAAGAAACAGGGTGAAGCCAATCACCAGGAGCCACCCAAAGGCCTGCTGGTTCCAACGAAACGCTTGCCCGGATAGGGCCATTAACGTTTTTGGGCACAACTGAGTTGCCCTCTGTGGCAATTCGAGGGATTGCCAGACTTTCACCAGTTTCCAGCTCCACGGCAAGTGATGCTTCACCTGAGGCTTGAAAAACTGAATGGCCGCAAGGGTGTAGTTAGCCTGTGATTTGGGTTCACCTTGGTCCCACAGACTTTCAATGAATTCGGCAGTCATCTCGTCGAAGACCTCTGCCGCAGGAACCGAAAAATTTCTATGCAAACGGTGAAACTTCAAAAATGCTTCATAGCAGGTGTGATAGCGCTCTTCTGTCTTGGCAGCAATGACTTGTCCTTTTAGCGATCCAATCTTTCTTCGTTCCCTTTGTCGCTCTTGCTTGCTGGCGGCTGCAGCGATTACCACTCTAGCCTTCGGTGGCATACCTCCTGCTTGGTTCGTCGGCTGGGTTGTCCTCAGATTCAACCCAAGCCAACAGAGGATACACCCCACTTCCAATCTGCAAGGCCGCATACCGCTTCAGCAACCGATTGAGCGCACGGGAACTGGATCTTCCTTTTACCGCCACCGCTAGGGCAACCTGAGAGTCCGTGAGGTGGAGGGCCCTACAATCTCCAAAACAAGCCTTCCGGCACCTCCACTCCAGGCCCTGCACCAATGCTCTGAGCTCCAAGCAATTGATGTGCTCAGTGATGCGAAACCGGTAAGCGGTGGCAGTATGCCACCTCCAGCGGTTTGCCTGGATCGACCCCCTCGGAAATGAGTCCGGTCGATACAAAGACCCAAGATCGAGCCTGACATCGGAGCCCCGATACTCCTGCCTTCGAATGTAGGCTGCCACAAGTGCTTGGCTCAGACGCTCATCAGAGCGCACTGTGTCATCCAGCAGCTGCTGGTTCTGGGCCTCGCGCTCCAGTAACTCACAGTGCTCCGCACCAATCACGCTCTGGGTCTCATGATCTTCCAGGCCCTCTGTCTCTGCTGCCTCTTCCTCATCTATATCCTCTGCTGCTTCATCACCTGCTACCTCGATCTCTTCCTTGATTTTCTCCCTCAGCTTTGCGAGGTACTCTTCAACTATCTTGGTTGGCCCCTTTCTGGTCTTCAGGCCCATGCTGCTGAAGCAATGATCAAACAGCGCTGCTACTGAATTGGTGTGAAACGAATTTCCAATTGCAGCCGAGCGGAGGTCCTCTGAGCTTTGCTTCTCCTCCTCACTGGTCGGCTTCTTCTTCAAAAGTTTTTCTGTGTGGCCCGGGGGGAACCCCATGAGCACCTCTCTTTCCTTGGCACGCAATGGTCTGAGCGCACCATCTTCCAGGATCATGAAGTCCTTGTGGTAGGTGTATGGTGGGTACCTAAACTGGTCTCCCAACCACCTTCTTCGTGTCTCTTCATCAGCCTTTTCCAATCCCACCGGATTCGGTGGGGGCTTCTTCCTCCGTATTGCCCGAGTCATGGTTGGAAACCGCAACTTGTTGTTCTCAGCCCAGGCTGGCCAGGAGCAACCTTCGTCCAGAAAATCTGATGGCTCCTCCAGCACCTTGGACCGATAGACCTTTTCGACGAACCCTCTTCTTGGAATGCTGTCAATTTCCTCCTCGTCAGCGAGTGTCACCGACAGCCAAAACAATCGGGGCCGCCTGGCCAGCGACATGTGCCGGGCATCCACCATCACTGGTTCCATCTTGAGGGCCTCACTCATTTCCTCAATGTCCTCATAGTCCGCTACCACATTTTCCACAAACCGGACTGCCCAGATTCCTTGCTCAGCTGCTTCTTTCTGAACCATCTCGAGCACCCGAACCGCCTCAAAGAAAAGGGCGCTGCGCTCATCGGCCAGGTGCTTTCTCTCTGACGATAGCGTTGACAGTCCCTGGCACGGACTACCACCGCCAACCACGATTCCTGTGATATTTGGCACCTTTCCTATCGCCTTTTTCAGAGCTCCTTTGTCAAACTTCTTAATGTCCACCACAAACTCACAACCTGGATGAGCTCTCCGTAGCAGTCTTCTGCAGTTGGCGTCTTTCTCAACTGCCACCAGATGTCTCCAAGGAACCCCAGCTTTCTTCAGGGCCTCACCTAGGCCCCCTATGCCAGCAAAAAGGTCAATCACAAGGACCCTTTCTTCACCGCTGATCTCTTCTGGCACCTCTCTTTTCTCCTCCTCCAAAGGCCGTCCCTCAAGCAAGGACTCGGCCTCTTGAATGCCAGCCATGGTGAGACGGCTGGCGAAACACAGACCACCTCCGGTCTCACTGGCATCACTGGCGGTCACCACCGGATCAACTGCTGCTTTCAAGTTGAACATGGCCACGGGCAGCAGGCCTTCAAGCATCAGCGTTTCATCAACCAGCTCCTTGGTAACCAGGCATTTCCGGGGACCCTGGGCGATTGCTGTGAAGATGACTTCCATGCCTGCGAACAGACACCGACGGAACTGAAACAGGTGAACCATCTTTCCACTGTAAATCTGCAAGACTTTTCGGTCCACCTCCACATGCTCTCTTATATAAGCCCCCAAGGACATCACTTCCAAACACCGCTTGGTGCTTCCTCTCAAGATCCCCTGCTTGCCATCCAACACCGCACCTAATCTCTCCGCGCGGCTTTCACGCACCAATTGCTTTTTGGAGTTAGTGGGAATGCCCCACCATTCGTAAGCCCTCTTCAACTTCTCTTGTTCAGGTTGGGGCTTGTCCTTCAGTGACTCCACTACATGGGCTGCCACCTGTTCGACGATGGTTGTGTCATCCAGGTAGATGCTCCATCCTGCGTGCTCATTCAGCTCGGGGAATTCTGACAACCGGGTGATTTCGGCCAGCTGGTGCAACCCGGCTCCCCCGTTCAGGGGCGAGCTCAAGGCAAGCCTTCGATGAGCCACCTGCATGAGCCCCACTGAGCTATGCCATCCCATGGGCAACACAGTGAGCCCCAGGTAACGGTGCCCAGAGCCGCAAGCCCCACTAGGCTTTTGCGTATGGGTTTTTCCAGAAGGAGATAATTGATCCATACCTTTGGCAACCTGAAAAGATAAAAAGCAGACGTCAGATCTTCGCCACTGATTAGCAGCTCCTTCCCTTCTTCCACCACTATCCGTTGGAAGGTCGCTGCTCCTGTGAGGCTGGCTGTGTCCGCCTCTATCTGCTCCATCATCCAGTTGGTGCAGCGCAGATCAATTATCAGCCTGAGGATCTCCTCACCCGAGGGGAGGAAAGCGTCTGCCTTGGGCACCCCAAACGCACCGTTTAAAGCTGGCACATCATCCACTGTAGGGATAAACTCACAAGGTGCCACCAGCCCACGGTCCCACAATGCCTTGGCCACCGCTGGCCATGCTTCATCGCTGCAGCGGACGCGGGGTTTTGGCCGCGGTCCCAAACACAGCTCTTTGACCAGCTTCCCAGGGTGCTCCAACATTTTCGCCAACTCGGGGCTGAGTAACTCCGTCAGGTTCACCAAGCCCACATGCTCAGCATTGGGCAATCCAGGCAGGATCTGCTCCAAAGTGATTGCACAAGCTTTTTGGACTATCTCCCCGGTGTAGCTGATGCCAACTTCCTGGACTGAATGTTTCCAATCCGCCAGTGGGGTTCTTGGCACACCCCGAACATCTTTGTCATCCAAGAAGACCTTCAGTTGGTCCCAGATGCGACAAAGCGCCTTTTCTTGAGCAGCAGTGGCATGCGAACCCGGAGGGGGACCGTGATCTTTTGCTCTGTCACCGTAAAGAAAGTTGAGGGACACCACAACCAGTCCATGCCAGGCCTTTAGACCTTCAAGCCTGACCAACCTCTGGCCCTGTCCCTTTGTCAGGGATCCTCCTCTCCTTTTGTCTTTCTTCTCACCGTGCTCACCCCGGTTGATAACCTCTCTCAGAGCTTGAACATCATCAAACCAAAGGGGAAGCGGGAAGAGATTTCGAACCTTCTCGTCTGACACCTCCGTGGGTTGCAGGCTCCATCCTAAATACTCTCTGAGGGAAAAGTCAGACTTCCAAATTTGGCCAACAAAGTGGTCAATAAGTTGAGCTGCTGAAAGGTTTGCCACGGGATGAGACTCTATCCAAGTCCTCATCTCATCATTCAAATCATCTTCCAAGTTTTCCCAAGGCACCACCGGATGCAGCTCACTGACACCACTGCTTATTTGGCCTTCGCCTTCCCCTTTCCTTTTCCTTTTCTTCCTTTTCCTTTGTTGCGCCAATTCTTCAGCGTCCCCTTTCCTTTTCCTGGGGCTCTCTTGGGCGCTGGCTTCAGATTGACTTCTCTCCTGGGTGGACCTTCGCTTCCGCCGGGGCTTTCGACTTTGGTCTTGTCGGTGATGGCCTTTTCTTTTTCGACGTCGACCACGAGCACCTCGGGGTTTGCCCACTCTTCCTTGGCCAAGCGTCCTGGCTGTTGATCACCTGGGCCTTCTCGTTGAACTTCACTCTGGCACCGGACCCTCCGCTCAATTCGGGGACTGGATCCGGGCGAGCTGGGCTCGGACTTCGGGGGGCGTCTTTTGGATGACTCACAGGCCTCAGACCCCGATCTGGAGACCTGCTGCCCCTGTCCTATTTGCTGCGAGTCATCTTCAGGGCTGCGTCCCTCAGACGGAGGCTGCGCAGCTCGGCCTTGGTGGCCATCTCCCGCTCGTCCTCTCGGCTGAGTTGCGCCCCGTGAGGAGGGATCAACTCGTAATGCCGAGCTAGACTCCATCCGCCGTCCTGCAACGATGCTTCGACTGCTTTGAAGCGCTGCATGAGCAGATCTAGGCAGCGGAGAGTGTTGTTCTCGAGCAGCTCGTCCAGCGCCGTCGCCAGTGTGACGAGCTCTCTGTGGGCTCGGACACCGATCTTGCTGGGAGGATGTGCGGTGAGTACTATCGTACCCCAGAACTTTTTGGTCGAAGGGATCTTCTTTTTGCGTCGTGTCGCTGCGGCTGGAGAGATGCCCGGGCTTCTTTTGGGCCCAACGCCAGAGGTCGCCTCCCCGAGCCGATGACGCCCGAAAAACTGACATCGAGCTGGAGGAGCTCCCAGCGGAACTCCCACTGCTGGAGCTCTCCTTCCTTTTCTTCTTTGTCTTTTCTTTTTCTTCGCCTTTGGTTCTCCAGCTTCAGCCACCTCCTTGTCGGCGCTGCCACGCGGCCCTTCTCGAGCCTGCAGCTTCTCTTTTGCTCTGGCTTCCAACTTGTCAGAAAGCCTCTTGAATTTCCTCGGGGACCGGCTTCGTCCTCTTTCTGGCCTCTCAGCGCCAGTCCCTCCAGGGCGGGCCACCCGGGCCCTCTGGGCCTCTTCCATGGCCTGATCCAGCCCAGTGCCCGGAGGGGGCCTCTGGGCTTTCTTCTCTTCGGCAAACTTTTCAATCTCCGTTTTGCCCAACCGGATTCCATGGGCCCGCAAGTAAGGCACTTCGACCATCGCCTGGGGAGTTAACATCCTCCACTTGTCCACGTGAATGACTGCCCTTCTGTCGCCCCTTGCCGTCTTCTTTCGGCAGGCTGAGGCCCGGCCATCACACAGGTGGAATACCACTCCTGCCTGGAGCTGGTTCTCCACGTACCACTGATAGTACTGGCCCTGAGCTGCTCCATGATGTCCAACAAACCAGCCTCCTTGGGCATCTTCCCATTTGTGCAGCTCCACCTCTGCTCTTCCTTGGGGTTGTCCAGCGTCATCATAGCACTGATACTCAATCCACCGTCCGCTTTCAAAGACCTCAAGGGCCACATCAAGGCTGCCTCCTTCACCCTCACTGGCCAGAACCCAATTGGTCTCTGTCAGTGGTCGTCCCAGCCTAAGGCAGCTGGTCACCTCATCGGCCTTAAGCCCAGCTTCTCTCCCCACACGGAGGAGTTCGTCCATTCCTCAGGAACAGACCCCCAGGCACAACCCAGGGTGCTGGATGAGGCTTCCCAGCGGGACAGGTGGAGTGGCCCTGCAGCCTCCACTTCCTTTTCTTTTTCTTTGCTCTTTCCTTTTCTTTTTCTTTTCTTTCACTTCACTTGATCCTTTCGCTGACCAAGTCAGCGTCGCTATGGCTTCTGCAAAGTGCAGCAAGCCAAGCCCGACCCCAAAACTTGAGCCGAGCTTTTGCGGCCACCATGCACGTGTATACCCCTCATGAATGAGTACGACATATATTTTTTTTTCCACAGTGATATTTGGGCACATTACGTCTTAGAGTTTCATCAAAATAATCATAGGACAAGAGCAGCACATAAATAACAACAGAAATAAGATATGTACAAAACTGAAATTGCAATAAAATAATTGCTCTAGACATTTTGAGACATCTCCATTTCTATTTCTTTAATGTTTTATTTCTCCAAAAAAATGAAAGGTACCTTAAGATGGCTTAAAGCACCTTTCATTTTCCAAGGTACCAATGTGGAACCAATTTTTGAACATGTTAGGCTTCGGTTTTGGGAGCCAATTTTCAGACGTTATGAGACATCTCCAGTTCTATTTTTTTGTTTTGTTCAATGAAAATGAAAAAGCCATGCAACATCCATTGTGAGTTATAGATATCACATTGGTTGATTGATACATTCACAAGGTCTTTGGTATTTCTGTTGTAAGTTTTTCTGACATCATCATGGGCAAAACGTGTTCTTCATGGAGTTACTTTTGGTGAAAGGCTGGAATTTGCGTCAAGTGTACACTTAGGGATGTCTCAAAATAGGGGTGCCCCAAAGCTGTGTTTTGCACACTAAAAAACAAGGGCTTGGGGCCCCCTATTTTGAGACATCCCCAATTGCAAATACCATCTGTGTAGCACACTGGTGCTCAAGATTGAAGTTGCTTGTCACTTGTCGCCCCTGCTGGTAACCTCATAAAGAGGCCTGCTTGTCCACCTGATGCTATGCTTGCATTTTGCCTCCACCTGAACCAGCACCATAATCTGTAGAACAGGCTTCTCCAGAAGAAACTGCCCCATGAGCTGACCTGAATTCTTGGATACTGCAGCACCAAAGGCAAAGGCCAAAGCCAAGGTGAAAGCAAAATCTAAAGCCAAGGAAAAGGCAGCAGGTAAAGCCAAGGCTGCTGCCAGCAAAGCTCCTGGGGTTACTTCTTCGCCAATGAAAGCTCAAAAGGCAAAAGCCAAGAGCACAATGAAGAAAAATCCTGAAAAGACCTGATGCAGCTGAAGGCGAAAGCCAAGGCCAAAGCGAAGACTGTCAAGGAGATGGCAGCAGGATGGAAGAAGACCAGGGATGAGCCAGTTCCTGATGACCATGCAGAAGGAGAAGATGAGGAGCCTAAAGAGGAGGATGCAACAGTTGCTGATGATGAGCATTGAAGCTACCCCAAGTTAAGGAAATGTGCCAGAATGATCAAAAGTGGCCAGGTGCCAGAAGATCTTCAGCAGCTCTATGAAGAGGGTTGAAGAATTCTCCTCCCCCAAGGCCATTTAAGAGTCAATTCATCAACAAAGTCTTTCAGCAGAACACCAGAGGCGAGTCTGTGTTTGCTCCTGGAAATACCCAGTGTTCGAAGTTTTCAAGAACAACTCTGAGATTTGCACCAACAAATTTCAGTTTACTGGGTTGGCTTAGGTTGTGGACAAAATCCAGGGAAACCAGCAAGCTTTGAATGATGCAGAAAGACGAGGTGATGTCTATCAGAAAGATGGTTACTATCATGTCAAGACAATAGCCACAGCCATTGAGAAGAAGCAGGGCAGTTCCATGGTCTTGCATGGCGGGCAAGCCAAGCTTACCAAGGATGAGTGTTCGCAGATGAGTCAATTCATGTCGAGCAGGTCCTGGAGCCAGTTTGGCACTGGAGCTAGTTGTGGTGGTAGTGGTAGTGGCAGTGGTAGTTGTGGTAGTGGTATCAGTGCTTCCTCTACACCAGCTGTGGTTACTTCATCCTCAGCATTGCCAAAAGCGATTTCTGATGCTCCTGTTCAACTGAGCTGGGCAAGTGCGCAGCATGACATCAAAGAAACCAAAGTGGTTCAGGAGCGACTTGGTAGAGACAAGAAAGACCAAAAATCAATGATATTTTGAGGGATGCCCTCACTGAGCTTTCAAAGACAGAATGGATGCTTGGACAATTTTTCATTGCCAAGTATGACTGGCTCATTATTGCCATAATCTTGTTTCATGCTTCATTTCATGCCTTTTCTGACTTTTCCTCATTTCTGCCATGCTCTTGTTTTGATCAAATCATTTGATCCAATCCAAGTGCCAAGGAAAAAACATGATACCTTGTCAAAATACATGAAGTAACCCCATGCACATATGTCAGCAGCACATATATAGTCACCCCAAGAGAACATCAGACACATACCATATAACAAAAGAAAATAAATAAATATATGTATAAATGAAGTGAAAAAACACTAACACTTAAAAATTACCTTGAAAAAGGACCTCAATAATTAACTTCAAAGGTATTTTTAAACCTATTAGGTAAAAAGAATCGACCAAAATTACCTTCATAAAGGTTATTTTTTTAGAGTTGCCTAGTTTGCTCCAAATAGCCCTGCCTGACCTATAGGGCAAAAATGAAACAATTCTGCGAGACTTCCTTCAAAAATGGAAAGGGAGCTGACGGCCTAGTACCAATGAGTTTTGCGATTTTTCCACTCCACCTGTCTAAAGTACTGCGCCTGCCACGAAAAAGTGATGCCAGATCATACGAAGTGCTGCACCTGTCCCGCAAAATCATCTTCCCAGAACTGAAGATCTGATGCTCCAAAATGCAACCCCTCTCAGAAAAGCAGCACCCACACCTCCTAACATCTCTGATGAACATGTCTCTTGTACTGCGCCTGCCACGGAAAATGGATCTTTGCAGATCCTCTTCAAATGCCCCACGCCTGCCATTGTCTTTAAGAAATGCTACAAAACCCTCATGTTTTGCTCACTTTTGACAAGGTGCACAATCCCTTGCGCCTGCCGCGCAAAACGACACTTCAACGTCCAAGAGTGGCGCGAACATGTGGTGTTTTGTACATTTTGACTTGGAAATGTGCTTCGCGCCACAAGGGCGTGCACTTTTTCGACATGTCAACTTCCAAAAGTGGTCTGAACCCGTCAGTTTTTTACACTATTGACTTCGAAATGTGCTTCGCGCCACAACGGCGTGCACTGCACTTTTTCGACATCGCACCATCGGAAAGTGATCCAAAGTGCGATTTTTTTTAAAACTTTTGCACCTGCAAATGTGCTTCGCGCCACAACGGTGTTCACTTTTTCGACATCGCAACTTCGAAACGTGCTCCGAACGTGAGGTGCTTTTAGCTTTTTCACTTGCAAATGTGCTTCGCGCCACAACGGCGTGCACTTTTTCGACATCGCAACTTCAAAAAGAGCCCCGAACGTGAAATGTTTTTAATGTTTTTAGCTTTTTATCTCCCATGTACAGCTCGCTAGATGCTTTGCGGCCACTTTATAGAGAATAGCCTGGTATAAACTGGAATGGCCACATGTTTGGAGTCTATAAAGTGGAAAGCCAACATGTTTTGCCTATAAAGTCAAAATCCAACGTTTGTATAAAGTCGCCTGGCCGCGTAAAAACATAAAACTCGATGTAGGTTTTTGAGGGTACTTGTGAACATGTCCCATGACTATAAAGTGAGATGCCGAACATCCAGATAGTAATACTTGTGTCGAACAGTGGCACTATAATGTGGATTTCCTACTAAACAACGATCGTTGTAGTAGCGATGATTTTCTTAATCGCGACGATGGAAGCATCGACATGATTGTCTATAAAGTTGAGGGGCCACGTTCAAACTTTGGGGGAATATCATCGATCTCATCGATGGGGAACCCAAAAGATTTCGAATGACTTCGAAACCGAACGAAACCGACAGCCAGACAAATATCTATATCGAAGTCGTTAGCAGAATCTATGGTAAAACAAAATCTATGTTGGACTGGCCACTTTATACCCCCTCCCCCAACAGAGAATGCCTCTATAAAGTGGCCAGTCCAGGTAAAACCCCTGAAAAAACAGAATCTATGTTGGACTGGCCACTTTATACCCCCTCCCCCAACAGAGAATGCCTCTATAAAGTGGCCAGTCCAGGTAAAACCCCTGAAAAAACAGAATCTATGTTGGACTGGCCACTTTATACCCCCTCCCCCAACAGAGAATGCCTCTATAAAGTGGCCAGTCCAGGTAAAACCCCTGAAAAAACAGAATCTATGTTGGACTGGCCACTTTATACCCCCTCCCCCAACAGAGAATGCCTCTATAAAGTGGCCAGTCCAGGTAAAACCCTGAAAAAACAGAATCTATGTTGGACTGGCCACTTTATACCCCCTCCCCCAACAGAGAATGCCTCTATAAAGTGGCCAGTCCAGGTAAAACCCCTGAAAAAACAGAATCTATGTTGGACTGGCCACTTTATATCCCCTCCCCCAACAGAGAATGCCTCTATAAAGTGGCCAGTCCAGGTAAAACCCCTGAAAAAACAGAATTTTTGGACTGGCCACTTTATACCCCCTCCCCCAACAGAGAATGCCTCTATAAAGTGGCCAGTCCAGGTAAAACCCCTGAAAAAACAGAATCTATGTTGGACTGGCCACTTTATACCCCCTCCCCCAACAGAGAATGCCTCTATAAAGTGGCCAGTCCAGGTAAAACCCCTGAAAAAACACATTTTTACCTGGAATGGCCACTTTATACCCCAGCCAGTCGGCTCCAGGACTTTGACCCGGAAACGGAAGGACTGACAACAAGGTAAAGGGGGAAAACTACAACGGAGAGGTACAACGGGAAGGCTACCACAAGAAAATGAGACATGTCACGTTTATATACGTTTATTGTTTTCAATGTGTCATATAGATTGGCGATGATTGGTATATTGAATATGTTGTAGATGTATTTTGGAACATATGTATACCTATGATTCACACATCAATATAAATATATATAAATCATAAACACATGCCAAACCAAAAACTTTTAGCTGAGTATTGTATTCCCAATCTGTTGGCAAATGTCCAGCCGATTCACCATGCGTGACCCAACAAGATTCAAACTATGGATTGTTTACTTTCGAAAATATGTTTTTACTGGTTCTTGCAAACAATTTTATAGAGGATGGGCATGGACCGGCCAGTTTATACAGAGGGTGGGGCTGCCAGAAATGACGTGATCAAGCCACTTTATAGAGCTGAACTTTCTTGCAAACCATTTTATAGAGGATGGGCATGTGGCCGTGGTTTTGGTCCATAGATGTCCATAGATTTTTAGGATGATTTTGGGAGATTGTCGTCATAGATATACGTAGATTCACCCAGTATTTTTTTTCGAAAGTAAACAATCCATAGTTTGAATCTTGTTGGGTCACGCATGGTGAATCGGCTGGACATTTGCCAACAGATTGGGAATACAATACTCAGCTAAAAGTTTTTGGTTTGGCATGTGTTTATGATTTATATATATTTATATTGATGTGTGAATCATAGGTATACATATGTTCCAAAATACATCTACAACATATTCAATATACCAATCATCGCCAATCTATATGACACATTGAAAACAATAAACGTATATAAACGTGACATGTCTCATTTTCTTGTGGTAGCCTTCCCGTTGTACCTCTCCGTTGTAGTTTTCCCCCTTTACCTTGTTGTCAGTCCTTCCGTTTCCGGGTCAAAGTCCTGGAGCCACTGGCTGGGGTATAAAGTGGCCATTCCAGGTAAAAATGTGTTTTTTCAGGGGTTTTACCTGGACTGGCCACTTTATAGAGGCATTCTCTGTTGGGGGAGGGGGTATAAAGTGGCCAGTCCAGGTAAAAATGTGTTTTTTCAGGGGTTTTACCTGGACTGGCCACTTTATAGAGGCATTCTCTGTTGGGGGAGGGGGTATAAAGTGGCCATTCCAGGTAAAAATGTGTTTTTTCAGGGGTTTTACCTGGACTGGCCACTTTATAGAGGCATTCTCTGTTGGGGGAGGGGGTATAAAGTGGCCAGTCCAGGTAAAAATGTGTTTTTTCAGGGGTTTTACCTGGACTGGCCACTTTATAGAGGCATTCTCTGTTGGGGGAGGGGGTATAAAGTGGCCAGTCCAGGTAAAAATGTGTTTTTTCAGGGGTTTTACCTGGACTGGCCACTTTATAGAGGCATTCTCTGTTTGGGGATGGGGTATAAAGTGGCCAGTCCAGGTAAAAATGTGTTTTTTCAGGGGTTTTACCTGGACTGGCCACTTTATAGAGAAGAAGATTTCCCTTGAAAGGGGTCCTCAGGGTGAATGGGGTCCTGGGCAGCTCGATAAAGTGACTTGGATGATGTATCTCATGACTCTATAAAATGGTCTGCCGCAATTTTCTTTCTATAAAGTGCCCTGGATGCAGCACAAATTATTCTTCTTAAAGGGCAAGTTTCACTCTATAAAGTGCTTTGCCATGTATACAGCCCCAACAGAAAAAAAAATAGGCCCGAAATAATTGGGGAGACATGTTTCTATAAAGTGGATGGTGTGACATATTATGGCCATTCTTTGAAGGGAACCAACGGTCTATAAAATGCATTGCCGCATATATTGAGTCGTTTCCTTGTGGGAAACCAGCCGGGTATAAACTGGAAAGCCAACGTTCTAATAAAGTCATCTTCCAGGTCCAAGGGCATGTTTCTCGCGCAAAACACGGCTTTATCCCCCATTGTCGGTATATAAAGTGGCGACCGGAAACCCACTTTATAAGCGCAAAGGATGTCCACTTTATAGTGAGCTATACATGGGGGACAGCTTTTTCACTTGCAAATTTGCTTCGCGCCACAACGGCATGCAATTTTTCATCTCTCATCTCCCCCAAATGGCTCCGCACCCGCCGCTTTAGCGAGCCTACTTTTCGAGCCTCCGGAGCCACAAATCATTGGAACAACAATGAACAACACAGTGAATCGTGACTTTTCTACTTTTCGCGCATCTGGATCTTCTTCCTTCTGAGACTTTCTCTTTTTGAGCTTCTTTCTTCTTCTCTTCTCTTCTCTTCTCTGGCTCTTCCCATCGCTGCTTTTCATCTGTCCATATTGTCGGAAGTTTGACTTCTAAACTTCCTTCCATAAAATAAATTTGAATAAATGCTAAATAGCTACTCAATAGCTGCTGAATAGCTGCTAAAGAGTTGTTGTAAATAATTGCTGAATAGCTTCTAAATAGCTGCTAGATAGTTTCTAAATAGCTGCTCAATAGTTACTAAATAGTTGCCAAATGGCTCCTAAAAAGGCTGCTAAATAGTTGCAAAATAGCTTTTAAATAGCTTTTAAATAGTTGCTAAATAGTTACCAAATAGCTGCTAAATTGATGCTAAATAGATGCTAAATAGCTTCTAAATAGTTGCATGAATAACTGCTAAATAGCTTCTAAATAGCTGCTAAATAGCTTCTAAATAGCTGCTAAATAGCTTCTAAATAGCTGCTAAATAGCTGATGAATAGCTGCTAAATAGCTCCTAAAAAGTTGTAAATAACTGCTACTTAAGTGCTTTAGCTGCTTCCTGCCACTGGTTGAGCAATTGCACCTCAAAGTTTTTGCGGCTTCCCTGCACAGAGTTGGATCTGACCACACTGGCTAATTCTGTGCTGCCAGCATGGTTTTCCTTCCACCCCTCCATTTTCCAACCAACTGTCTCTGGGCTCTTTCTCCTCAGGTATAGTGAACAAACTGGTCAACCTGAGCCATCTTCTGTGCTAAGCCCTTCAACACGTCTCCTGAATCATGGAGATATCGGTGGACTGACCCACTTGTCCAACGCCCGCTCCTCTTCACAACTTCGACCTCCCCTGTCGCTTGGTAAAGCGCTGACGCTCCTCCAATCCTCAAAGAGTGATTTGAAACCTCTCTGCCAGGAGCCCCACCTCTTTGGCTGCTCTTTGGAATACATTCTGCACCTCCAAGCGTTTCAACACCTGGCCAGATGCCCACCTGAAAAGGGGTAAATGTCCTTTTCTACCCCAAACCTCCTTGAAACAGTCTTCCGAAGCTCCTGAAGCGCCTCCACCACGCACACATGCTCCACTCCTGTCCTCAACAAAGTTCTGCACGTTCCAAAACCTTGCTGGTCCGACTTCGTCTTGTCCCCTCACGATCATCTACTCATCAACGCCACTGCTATCGCAAAACTCTCTGGCCCGCAGCATGAAGAACCACGCTGTGAGCAACGCTGCCACGATCATCTGGCTGTTGATCTTCAGCTCGCCCTGCGCTCTGGCGCCTTCTGCAAACTGGTTTCCGATCCATTTCAACATAGGGACAGTCACTCCCAAGCGTCTGGGCCTCCTTGCTGCATTTCGCTCGACGAGGGAGTTGAGCACTATCCAAAGGCGGTGCATCTTTCCGGTTGCATCTCCATGTCCCGCTCTTTTGTGCGCATCCTTGATCGCAAAGACTGCCCGCTTCAACGTAGCCACCGAAGTTCCAAGCCATCCCAGGTACCCCAAATACCCAAGCAACTTGTTCTCGTTCTCCACAGGGTCGCTCATTGTGCTGAGATAGATAGCCACCGCTGACGACGGCTCCAATCGCACCAACGCTGCCATGCCGCATTGTATGCCTTCTGTGTACTCTCTGCCTTGTCCCCTGTCATGTGCTCATCCAGCCACTCCTCAACCTGCGCCTGGATGTTGAGATCGCCAACCAATCCCGGCCTCAGCTCCACGACGCTTTGTTGGATTTCTTTCTGCCTCCTGCTCTGCAGTCCTCCTCGACGTCCACGTTGTCGAAGAAGGCGTCCAACCACAAACCTTCTCCCCAAAGCCATACATGTCGCATGCCTTCTCCTCCTGCTTTGCGGTCTGCTGCTGCACGTCTGAAGTCTCCTCGGCGCCACTGTCGGAGCCATACCAACAGCGAACCCAAAGATCGTCCATCCTCAGAGTCCAAGCACATACCAGCCTTCTGGTCGCTATCCTCCCATTTCCACAGCTCTGCAGCTACACCCAATAGCCCCAAAGCAGTCTTGCGCCCTGTGCCCAAACATCCTTGTCGGAGGGCTTCCTCTCTCCGCAAAGGTGAACCATGGCCTTCCACCCCTGCCTCGTCCTCCCTTGCGCTCTCCAAATCTCCTCAGCTTTCAGCCTCCGGACATACCCTGCAGGGGCCGCTCTGTCGACCACATAGAGCTCCTCAACGCCTCCAGCCTCCTTTGTATATAAGCGGCCACCTGCAAGGTCCGTTCAATTTGTACGCCATCCTGCGTTCTTCGTCTCCATGCATCCAGACGTGGCCTCCCACTGCCGGTAGCATCTGATGGCTGCCCTTCCCATAAGCTGTCTCCCATCGTTCATACTCCTGCCAACAGCCTGGGTCTGCCTTCTCAAGAACGGTTCCCAACGACGGCGGGGTGACCTCCTTCAGCATCCACTCCTCCAGTTGATGCGAGTTGACATTCTTGCGACTGATGAACAGAGCCCTTCGTCTCCTCACCAATGCTTCTCCCAGCTCAGACGTCAAAAACTCCACCACCGTGGTGTTGAAGCCGTTCTTTTCTGCTGCCTGTTCTCCAAGGTCCCAAGCAACCTCGCGGGGTCCCTCCAAAATGGCGATGTCGAACTCTTCGGCAATGAGATAGTCCCAAAACCGTCGCACCAGCTTTCCCCTGGGATCCGGTCCAACTGTAGCCGCCACGATGACGCCTGCTTGTTGCCCTCCTCGATGTCGAAGTACTCGAAGTCCTTCACCCTTCTCGGTCTGCTCGTCCACTCGACAATCTTCAATTGGTGTAGATCTTGAGGTTGACGTTGCACAGCCCTGAAGCGTCTGAGCTCCCAAAAAAAATCATCTGCTCATACCTGTCCCCTTCTTCGTGCCATGACAAAAAACACGGCCCAAATCTTTCCGTGTCCTCCAATGCCTGCCGCACCGCTTGGCGCAAGTCCACCATGCTCCAACCTCTCTCCTTGATCTTTCCTTCCACGTCCTCGGCTGAAAGTCGCGTGATAGCATCTGCATCCTCATTGTGGTATGTTCGCCACCATCCTCCAATAACCACTTTGGCGCTTTTTGGTTTTAGCTAGGTTACAAGTCAACTTATAACCACTTAGGTTACGTTAATTTCTTGCCCACTTACGGGCAGTTATAACTGACTTATAATCACTTAGCCACGAGAAACTTCAGCAGCCACGTTAACACACGAGGATTGACCATGGTGGAGCACGAGGGTTGACCAAAAACAGAGCACGAGGGTTGGCCAAACACAAGTAAACAATTGAAGCCACACACGCGCTTTTTCCCGCAACGGCGCTATGGAGCTTCTTTGCCGGGCGAGCCTCGGCAACCGTGCGTGAGGCGAGCCTTCACGCAACAGCCAACAGGTGTGTTTTCACACGGTTCCAGGCTCCTTTGGCACCATCCATTTTCCAACTGAAGCTTTTGTCTTTCTTCTCACCGTTCACCTTCACCCTGTATGAGGACGAGTTTGGGCAGACATAAATGGTCACATTCGAGTAGCGGACTGGCCCGCCTTCTTCTCCTGGAAACTGAAGAACTCTTTTTTTTGGGCGGAGGCTCTTTGGCTTCTGTCTGTGCAGCGCTTGCTGCTTTTGTCTTTGGAGTAGCCTTCTTCTTTGCTTTTGGCACCTTTGGCACCTTTGGCACCTTTGGTGGCGGGTTTTCGATCGCTTTCAATACTTCATTTGCCATGTCTTCAACATCCTTCTTGGGTACTTTGCTCTGCGCTTGCACTTTGGGCAGCGCTTCTTCTGAAACTTCTGCAGCCTGTGGGCTTTCAGCTTTATGATCTTCCTGGGGCGCTGGGTCAGGGGCAGCAAGAGCTGCAGGGGCAGCAGGAGCTACAGGCCTTTTTGCAGGGACCATTGCAGCACTCCCTGCAGAAGGGGCTTCCAAAGCAAGAAGCGGTCGCTTCTTTCTCGGGGGGAGCATGGTTAACTCCAGCTCCTCCCCTTCTCCACCACCAAGTCCCGCAAGCAACTGTTTCAGTTGTGAAAGCATGCCGCCGCTTTGACATTGCTGCAGCCCAGGCTTTCCACACATAGACCGTATGGAAGAATGGGTATCCCTTGCAGGCAAAACTTGGCACAAAAACTTCACCGCCATCTCATCCACCGGGCACTTGACAGGCATTTGCTCACCATAGGCTCTGCGAAGCAAATCTTCTGGAAGCTCAGCAGGGTCTGCGGGGAAGAGAGAAATTTGCGCCTTCTTGAAACCTTTCAAACTGCGGATATGGCTCTTGAAGTCACGGACAGTGCTCAAGGCGTTCATCGGGTTGACCCGAAGCTCGTCCATGGGGCCTTTGTGGGCAGTCACGTATGCGATGGCCACAACAGCGACCGAAGTTGGCTCGTCTGGGTTCAGCAGACCAAGCAAGGCCATTCTGTTGCTCATAGTCATGCATTTCTTCAAAATGCCTGGGTTCTTGGCCATTTCATCCCAGTCACTCTGCAAGAAATAGTTTGGAAGGTTCTCGCAGTGCTGGTTCTGTGGCTTCTTTTTCAAGGATTGCTCGCCAATCCCTGCTTGAACCTTTTTCTGCACCAGGTTCGCTAAGTCGTCGTGCCACTTCTCTGGGAGATCTGCGCTTCCCAGCGTCTTCAACAGTGACGTCCCAACTTCCATGGAAATGGGCGGAGCATTTTCTATGTCCAGAACGCAGGCCTGGAACAAGGCATCCATCTTTGCTTGGTCTGCGGTCAGCTTGCTTCGCTTCAAAGCCGCCAAGTAATCCAACATACCCACAAAGCGAGCTTCCGCCATGGCTTGAAAAAACCCCTATCAAACCACGGGGAATCCTCGTGAGCAGATTGTGCGGGACTAGCCTCGCACTTGGGCTTTGAAAAGAAAAGCAGGAGAGACGAACTTGTAAATGTCCTGTGAAAGGGAGGAGAAACTACTATCTGGGGGTGGGCGTTTATATATATATAGTTATATATATATATATATATCTGTGTGTGTGGGTATATGCAGAACAACTTTGGGGTATATATATATATATATATATATATACAAAAGAATCTTTGCAAATGCTATACAAAGACGGGCCTGAAACCTGGTATGTGCCCATGGGTTTTCAGAATTTTGCAGATTATATGCTGCACAATGTCTTTTTCAGGGCATCCTCCCATCCTCGCTGGATTTCAATGCCATCATATATATAAATATTTCATGCATGGGCGAGCCTCATGCGCAGGCGAGCCTTGCTTGTCAGCTGGAGCTGGACGAAGAGGACAGGAAACCATTCAAGCGCCAGGCGTCCTTGAAGCGAGGCTTCTCCAGATTTTTGACCACCGTGGTCGAAGATGCAGATGCAGGCCTCTTCAAGGGTCGCTGATGGCCGGTCACGGTCTGATCCACAGTCTTTTCTGCATCATCTTTTTTTGGCGCATGCTTTGCTGTCTTTCGCTTTCGGACACTGCTCGCGGGCTTGGTTTTTTTTTGCTTGGGGGCGTTTTTTTTTCTGACTTTTTGCAAACATGGCTTCTTCCAAGCGAAGGCGAAGAGCTGGCTGATCCTCCAGCGCCTTGTCAACGCGGGGCAAATCATCAGGTCCAATCTTTTCAAGCAGGCCAGCCACTGCAGCAGCAATCAACGGGACAGGGTAGGCGTTGCCAGCAGCCTTGATCTGCAAGGCCTGGCTGTTGAAACTTGAGGATATGAACGCGGGAAATCCTTGCAGTGTGAACCGCTCCTGCGGCAACAGGAAACGGAAAAAATCTCTTTCATGGTCTGGCTTTGAAAAATTCATGTCGCTCACAAAAAGGTAGCTGTTTGACGTTGTCAGCGTCGGGACCTTGTTTTTGCAAATCTGTCTTTTGTAGCACTTTCCATCTGCTCGGTCCAGAGGAAAGCAAACAATATCGCTTTCCTCAAGGTCACCATTCGCGAATAACTCCTTCAGTTGTCCTTGGGCATCTTTGAGGTTCTTCTGCATGCATGAAGTCAAGCTTCCCCGATTCACGGAGGGAATACCGGGGACAAAAATTCTTTCAAACTTTTGGACCCAAAAGCGGGCAGCACCTCTGGGATCACATTGTCTGGACAGAGGCCTGAGCGGATCCCACGTAAGAAAACCCGGGTCCGGTCCTGTGGCAAGAGGTAATCCTTCGCTTTCAGCAGGGAGACGTCCCACAAAAACTCCGGGATTTCAGCTTTCAGGCATGAGACCAATTTATCCATGAAGGATTCTGTCTGGCCTTTCTGCTTGTGCAGAATGCCTTTCACATTCTCTAACACCACTGCTTGCAGCTCCCCGCATTTTGCTAAAGACCCTACCACATTCACAATGCGGAGAAAGACTTCTGCGCGTTGGTCTTCTGCACCTTTGTGATTGCCATTCCCTGCCCAAGGCGGGCATGGAGGCCCTGCAAGAAGCAGGTGCACAGGTCGTTCCCATTCAGACAGTTTGACTTTCAGAACATCTCCATTGTCGGAGCCCAGGCGCGGTGGCTCCGCACTCTCCATGTAGGTTTCAAGGTACTTTTGGTAGCGGCGTTCCAAGTCATAGACATTGTTGCAATGGAAGTTGGCTCCCAAAAGTTTTAAGGCCCAGCCGGAGCCGTCGATTCCAACGCACGGCAAAGCTACATGGACTTGCCGGGCGAGCCTCGGCACTGACGGGAAATGATTGAACCAGTCGTTTGGCTCTGGGATAAAAGGCTTCATTGCTTGAACCACAAAATGAAGCTGCAAGAACAGGTCTTGTTGTGAAGAATTTGCAGTTCCAGATTGCGCACATGTGCATGGCGCATGTTTCCAGAGCAGCAGAGCTTTGGGATTTTTCAGCCAGTGTGCATGGCATGAGCTGCTCATTGCCTTGCCAGGTGTGGGGATTCCTCACACACTTAATTGATTGCCAAAAAGCCGCTCAGGAATCATTTCTTCTCTTGCCAGCGGTGGTAGTTGCAAGTCCAATGCTCCCACTTTCCGCAACATTGCACCCACTGGCAGTGGCATTCTCCATCCTTTTGCCCCAGCATCCAGTCCGTATACGCTAAGGTCAGATCTCTAGGAGGGTTGTGCTTCATGGTGTTGTACCAATCATCATCCTCCACCTCCATGTCGGTTGGCTGGTCCCAGAAGTCCAAGGGCAACGTTTCAGCGCTCAAGACAGAAGCTGCTGGTGAGCAATCCTTGTTTTTGGATGAAGTTTCGGTGCTGACAGCTGCCGCAGGAAGAGAGCAAGTTTCACGCGCTGGTCCACCATCCCATCGAACTACTTTGCTGGGGCGAGCCTCCAGCTTGTGTGGCAGTCCGCCAGCTGCAGACGTCATGACTTTGCAGGCGAGCCTTGCGGATATTATATGCCAGATTTCCTGAGCCTGGCAGCGTGGTTTCACGATGTATATAGTTGGACTCCTGCCAATGGCACGCTCAATAGCTAAGCAACTTGCACCTTTGTGTACTGTCTTGCTTGCAAGAAGTGGAAAACAGTAGCTGGTTGATTGGGGCTGGTGTGCTCTTTGAAAAACTGGTAAGAGAGCCAACGCGGGCTGGGAAAAAAGATTGCGTATGAATATGTATGCAACAATACACAATACATATATATATATATTTATATATATATGGTATTATATCAACTAAATAAAAACAAAACTCACGTGGGGACATTCTATTTGTCACTACAGAACTGTAATGTAAATAGATAGATAGATAGATAGATAGATATTTAGACACATGTAACAAAATATGTACAACATGTTTGCGTATGGATGTATGTATGTCTATGGGCTTCCATTTTGGCACCACTGTGCGCATCCAATTTGGGAGCACTATGGGCTTCCATTTTGGTACCACTATACGCTTCCATTTTGGGGGCACTATGGGCTTCCATTTTGGTACCACTGTGCGCTTCCATTTTGGGAGCGCTATGGGCTTCCATTTTGGCACCGCTGTGCGCTTCCATTTTGGGGGCACTATCGGCTTCCATTTTGGTACCACTGTGCGCTTCCATTTTGGGAGCACTATGGGCTTCCATTTTGGCACCACTGTGCGCTTCCATTTTGGGAGCACTATGGGCTTCCATTTTGGCACCGCTGTGCGCTTCCATCTTGGGAGCACTATGGGCTTCCATTTTGGCACCGCTGTGCGCTTCCACCTTGGGAGCACTATGGGCTTCCATTTTTAGGTCCCATTGTGCGTTTCCATTTTGGGAGCACTATGGGCTTCCATGTTGGTACCAGCGTGCGCTTCCATCTTGGGAGCACTATGGACTTCCAGTTTGGTACCACTGTGCGCTTCCATTTTGGGAGAAAGAACATAATATAATACTAAAAATAGGTTGGATCAATTGGACCATAGACAATGGATTATAAATTTAAGACTTGGGATGAGATGAAAGTAGAGGTGATTAGATGACACCAGACTATAGATTAAATTAGGTTAGATTGGGTTAGACTGGACTAGACTAGATTAGAATAGATTAGAATAGATTTGATTGGACTGGACTAGGTTAGATTGGATTAGACAAATAGATTGGGTGAAGTAGATATTCAACCATATAGTGAATCACATTTAAAAACAATACAAATATAAACCGGGTGTCATGCAGTACAAAATCCGTTTGCTGTTCCACGGCCTTTGTTGGCAATGTGTCAAAACAAAATCATTTACTTTTGGCTGCCGATTTCAGAACAAATGTGGTTTGTTTATTCCATGTTCATGCTGGTGGACAAACGCAATTTTATCTTGACTTTTTGTTTGCAGCAACGCTTACCCTTTTTGCCAAACACTGCAAACGCCAAGAAAACTGGATAACCGTTGTTTCACCATGGGCAGCTTTGGAAAACAACAGTGCACAGTGAACATTTTTTTAAACACACGTTTTGGACAACACCCTTTTTTTGAACACATGTGGCATTAAAAAATATGCACTTATTATTTGTTTTTTTTTGCCCCGCAGGGCTGCATGAGCCGCTGGGTTGCAACAATCCAGGACAAAATATTGATGAACATTCACCTGCATTGTGCAAGAACAATTGAACAAAGTATTGGTCAAACCACTGTTTTTTTGCTAACAAAGAACATGTGTTTGAACAAACTCCATTATACTTGGACATTTTTGGAGTGCTCAAATTTGTTTAGTGTTTGGCAGTGGCATGTTTTTCCTTTTTTTGTTACCCTCACAGCACGTAAGTAAAAATGAGGTGAAGGAAAACAACAACGAGAACAACTGGAAACACAAAAAAAACCACCCCAGGAAAAAAAGGAACATTTTCAGTTTTTGCCCCTGATACGGCTCTGATACGGCTCTGATACGCCCCTGATACGGCCCTGATACGGCCCAAATTTTCCAAAAAAAACTGCAAAAAAAATGTCAAACTGTTTTGACAAAATATATCGCAAAAAAAATCAGGAATCAAAAGTATAACTGATAGATTTACAAATTGGTTTTAAAAATATTGTTTTGGTGGATTTGTGAAACAAAAAATTCAGTACAGGATTTGATGTAAACCTCTGCCGTGATTTTTTTATCGGTGAAAAAAAGGAGTCAACAAAAAAAAGGACATTGTTGACTTGCTGTTTGAAAGAAAAAGGCGCAGATCCAAACAGGGAGGACTTGATGATAACCTCTGCTGTGAAATTTCCATGGATGAAAATATGGAGTCAATAAACATCTCTGAAATGAAATTTCCATATGAAAAATGCAGTCAGTACAAAATTGTTGACATGTTTTTTGGAAGAAAACCAGGCATGTGAACATCTGCCTTCAAATTTCTATCGGTGAGAAAATGGAGCCAATAAGCAAAGGAAATTGTTGATTTGGTTTTTGGAAAAAACAAACAGGCAAGGCTTGATGTGAACCTCTGCTCTGAAATTTTGATGGATGAAACATGCAATCCAAACATCTGCAGTTCACAGGTTGAAGTGTGTTGCAGAAAACCTTGATGAAATATGAACGTCAGTGTACCACATGTATGTATATAGTCTAATTCGTTCAAGGTAAAGTGGAGTTCAGATGTTTGCGGGACATGTTCTGGCACAAATACATATGTATGTATGTGTATGTGTGTATGTGTGTATGTGTGTATGTGTGTATGTGTGTATGCATGTATGCATGTATGCATGTATGCATGTATGCATGTATGCATGTATGCATGTATGCATGTATGCATGTATGCATGTATGCATGTATGCATGTATGTATGTATGTATACACTATATATATATAGTGATATATAATGATATATATATTATATCAGGTTATATTTTATTATATTATATTATATTACATTATATTATATTATATTAAATTAAATTAAATTATATTATATTTATATACGGATAGGCCCCGGGGCTGTAACAGTGACCACAACTGGACAGCACAAACGGAGCATTACAAAAATGCTCCAAATTGGGCTTATCTCTAATAAGAAGTCCCAACATATATAGCCATGTTCAAATCAGTTTTTTCCCATTACCCCTGCGGGGTGGCATGAAAGCGGGCTGGATGGCATGAAAGCTGCTACTGCCTGGATTTTTTGCATCATGACTGTCCTGCAACTGCATGGCAACTGTTGTGACAAACAAGTGTTCAAAACATTTTGCGATCCCCCACGCAAATTTCTTTGGTATTGTCAGATCGAGCTCAAAAATGTTCAGGGCTAGCCTCTGACATGTCATATGGTACTGGGCTATGCCTCGATCCGTTGTTATCAAGGGGGCGAGCCTCCCTACGCGCTGCCCTGCTCAGCAACGAAGGCCATCGCCTGCTCCACCTGACACTTCACACGGCTGGCACCGTCAGTCAGGACTTCACAATGCTTGTCCGCAGTCTCCAAGATCTCCTTCACATTGCCATGCTCCTTGCCAAGGGCGTCTTCAACTTTGGTCGAAAAAAGCAAGGCCTCATCGATCAGCTTCTCCGCAGCTTCCAGCACGTAGGCAGGCACCAAAGTCTTCACCTTCTCCGCTTTGGCCTTGGCGCACAAATCCATGACGTGCAGCCGCTTAGTTGTGAGCAACTCTATCTTCTTGATGATCTTTTTTTTCTCGCCAGCCTTGAGCTTGGGCAGCTCCTCATCCCCAGTGCCCGACTTGTTCTTCTTGGACTTCTTATTGGCCAAGCTGCCATCGTTGCCATCATCTCCGCCACCTTGGTTCTTGGGAATCTTTTGCACCTTCCTTTTATCCACACGGCTGACTTCTTCAGTATCGGTGGCCGTGCGCTTGTAATTCACATCTTCGTAAAGCCAGACTTGCCTCACCGCGCAAAAGAAGCGGCGAGTGTTGGCAAAAAGGTTCTGCAGCTGCTCTGGCTTGTTCTTGTAGCGTTCGTTCATGTCAGCCTCGTCAAAGTATTCCCCACTGCCTTCAAATTCCACCTTGGTGGACAGTCGCTTGGACTCAACGATTGTTTCCTGCATGCGGGCAAGAAGGTCCTCACCAGCAGCATTCTGGAAGTTCTTGTAAAACTCTTTCTTTTGCTCTTCTGTCACATTGGTCCAATCTTGCGCCAGGGACCCATGCTTCGAAATCACGCGGTTGACCCGGGATTTCAAAGAGTGGCACGACTTGCAGCGCCGAGCCAAGGGTTGTTTTTGAGTAGAACGCATCAGCACAACGCTGTTCTCATCATTGACTGGCTTCTTGCAAGTACTGCAAGTCGACGGCTCGGGCTTTCCATCCACCTTAGTCTCCGGCGTGTTGAGAGGAGCCACTCCGCTGGCTTCGCTGGAAGCTTGAGCGTTCTGGCTTTCCCACTGCTGTGTGGTCACAGCAGTCTCAGCACCATCTGAAGAGGCGGCAATGGAAACCTGATCAGACATGATCCGAAGGCGAGCCTTTCGGTTTCTCACTTTTGGCACTTGGGCTTGGAAAAGTCTACGGGAAAAAGTGCTTGTTCAAAAAGAGATGAAACATGCGAATGAAAAAACACGCGAAACCAGGATTCAGGTACTGCAGCAGGGCTAACGCAGCTGTTTTCTATCTTTTCTTTACAGTGAAGAGAAGCGGTTGCGCGCATCAAGCACAGGCGAGCCTTGTGCAAGGAAAGATGCCTTCCTGACGCGTGACATAAGAAACTGCTTTCATGTCCGCAGTACAAAAATAAATCCGTTTCTCCCTTGTCGATTGGAAAATGTTGTTTCCCGCAGCCTGTTCTTCATACAAAGTGCCCCAAACCAGGAACTCTGAAGATGAGAGCAGTCGCACCTGCAAAAAAAGATCTGCTTGCACCAAAACCTTTTCTTCCGGAAGCCAAATTAAATCCGTTTGCCGCAAATAGCCACCTTCAAAGCGAAGAGTCTTGGAGCCATAGGCTGCTTGCATTCCGGGAAAGAATGGCTGGAGCCATGCTTCTTCTGCAATCGATTTGGGGTGCTCCAAAAAAACTGGGAGCAAAGAATGCTCGTCTTGAAAAGAGGCAAGGTCTTCAGCAACGGCGCGGTAGAAAACACCTTTTTCCACATTGGAAAAAACCTTGCTGGCCAGTGTTTTTACCCCTTTGTGTTTCCTCTCCGGGCTGAAGCAGCTCAAGTTGCACTTGAACTTCAGAAGCTGCGGTGGAACATGACGCAGCCAATGCGTCTTGGGTTTATTGCATTCCGGGTACAAATCTAGAAACAACTGGTGGTGCTTTGCAATATCATGTTCCAGCTGTGGCATGTGAGCCAAAACATTTTCCTGCATGGACAGCAAAGAAATGATATTCATCATGCTTTCCAAACATGCAGTTTCCTCCTGCAAAAGATTTCCAGGCCGCACCATGACATGCACCAGCATGTTCAGAATGTCCATGTATTGAAACATTTCACTAGCAAAAGCTTTGACGTGAGCGTCGTCCTCATTCACAACGCGTTTTTGAAAGTAGTTTTTTGGCCATGAAGCTGCTTTCTTGGGCCATTGCACTTGCGCTGCGAAATCATCCAGGGCTGCAAGAGTCATGCCCGTTGTTTTGCAAAGCCGCCGGGTGTACTGGTTGAATTCATATTGCGCCACACCCCCACTTGCCATGAGGATATGCATCCAATCCCAGCAGTTGTTTGTAATGGGGTTGCATATGTTTTGAATTTCCTGGCACCATGGCAAACCAAGCGGATGAAATACCAGGCCGTAAGCTTTCTCAAGCTTGTCGAACCTTTTGGGGTGTTCCTCGGATGCTGCAATCTTGAGCATGCAAGCCATGTTTTGGAAGCTTTCTGCAGAATGCAAATCAAACAGAGCAGCATCCGCACAAGTGTAAGGCACCAAGTAACTATGCCCAGGGGGTGCCGCATTCCGTCCCATCACATTCTTACACAAGTGGCAAGGCTTGTAGGAGGATGCCCCTTTTGTACACCAGAGCTGAACCAGCGCTTTCTCATCTGCCAGCAAGCAAGACAAGGTTGCAAAAAGCAAGAAGTTTTCAGTCGTAGTCTTACAACAGATACCACTGGTATCAAAACTCCAATTGCAAGTTGCTTTGCCAAAAAATGTTTTTACCATGAAGGTGAACAAAAAGGAATGCCCACCATCCACCCGCTCGACCAATGCCAAAGGGAACATGGCAAAATGAAACCACCCGTTTTGCCTTGCACGGAACCAAGATGGCAGCTGTGCTATGGTCCAATAAAAGCACACCAAACTCCGGCCAGCATCAGGACGAAGTATATTTCCAGGCTTTATCTCATCCTGGTAAAAAACCAAGCTTAGCTTTCCGTGGTGACGCCTTGCGTCCCGCAACATGTCTCCAAACCCGGGCTTCCAATTGCACATGTGATGAAGCAGTGCAAATGGATTTACATATTCCATCGTGTGTGTCTCCCCATTGGTCAAGACAACGGTGGTGGATTGCAAAATTTTCCCATATACGCTGTCAATCTCCAGCGGTGCACGGATAGCTTCGCGCAAATGGTCTCTCTTCTGGCCATCTTGTCGTAGCTGTGCTGCAGCACTCAAAGAAACACTCGGGGGCACAAAATGCTGAAAGATTTTGGGGCGTGGCATCCACCAAAAACAAGACGATGAGAATCAATGGCTATACATAAATACAAGAGGACGAGCCTTCTTGAATCATGAGACCTATATGCGTTCTCAAAATGAGAGGACGAGCCTTCTCATGCATCTAAAAAAAGTTTGAAGATATGAGTTGAAAATGGCTGCCAGACTACGCATGTGAAACTGATGCGTTTTTGCCAAGATTGCTTGACGTTTGAATCATGTTGACATGCAGCGATTTTTTCCAAACGCGTGTCATGTGGCATGCGCATGTCACCGCATGCATGCTGTCCATGGCGGGCGAGCCTCACCATGCTGCTTGCATTTGAGCGGGCGAGCCTCGCTCATTTCTCCTCAGATCGACTGCCAGGACCTCCATGATGCTTGGGCCTCCACGCTGTCCTTTTGCGATCTCTGCCGCGTCCGTCCGAAGTCTCCTCCTCAGGCTTTTTTTTTCGCCTGCGCTTTTTTTTCCCGGTGCCATGCTCAGGAATGGGCTCACAAGCGCTCAGCGCGCCATCCCCATGCACAGCGTCCGCCGGCACCAGAGTCGGTGCTTCAGACACTTCAGAGAACTCACCCGGGCTTTTTGTCACATCTGACGGGGGGCTTGCCTCGCGTGCTTTCTTGCTTTCATTCTTGCGGGGCGCCTTGCCCTTGGAGTTGGCCGGGTTGGCCACTGAGGACTGAGCAGCGTATGGTTGGCCATTCTCGTTCGCATTGCACCACCAGTACCAGCCTTCCAGGACCTGAATCCTCCAGGCATTGTTGGCACACTGTTGCTCTGCGGCCTGCAGCCTCCGCTGCAAGTCTTGGACTTCTTCTTTTGTAGGCCATTCCTTATACTTCCATGAGTCATCCCATGCACCCCTCTTCCATGAACGCTGAGGCTCAGGAGGGGGGCCTCGAGGTTCTGGGGCTCTTCCTCCATCATCCCCATTCAGCTCAACTTTTTCCAAGGCCATCTTGTGTGCAGCCTGCAGCTTGTCACACGGCCCGCACAGCGTCAGCATTCTCTGGTTCCATTGCCCTCGCTCTCGTATGGCCGCGCTGCAGCCGGTCGCATCTCGAATTTCCAGCCTCTGTTCTGCTGTCAGGGTTCCCTTAATGGGAAATGGGCCTAGATGCCCGTCCAGGCTCGCCATGGCGGTGGCCAATTGATCGGGCGAGCCTCGACCAGTCAGCGTTTGCCGGGCGAGCCGCGGGCAAAAAAACCTTTCAACTTGAGATTTCTCAGCCAGGATTCGGGAGCCGAGAAAAAAAACATTTTCTCCCGCGCAAAGAATGAGAGATGCGCCAAAAAATCACCTGCTTTGAAAAAAAACCCGAGAAACCTGGGGACTTAGGTGACTTAGCTAAGTCCACTTATAACCACTTAGTCACGTTCGATTCTCGTGGCACCTAAGTGCACTTATAACCCAGCTAACCAGTTACAAGTCACTTATAAACTGTGCTGCACTTATAAGTCACTTAGGTTTGACATAGCATGGTTATAAGTCTACTTGACACGGTTATAAATCCAGATAGCCATGTTATAAGTCCAGTTACAAGTCAGCTAAGTTCAAAAAGCACCAAAGCAGGCATCTGTAGCGCATCTCTACGAGGTTGAGCACTCGAATCAGATCTGATTCCACTCCTCCGACTTGTCACCCAGTGGTACACCGTCTTGTTGTCTCCACCGTAGAGCACCACCTTACCCGTCCACCTGGCTCCCACAGCGCATGCAAATGCCACGAAAGACAGCATCTCTCCGAGGTGAATGGCTAGGGGCCCTTCTCCATTGATTTCCTCCTCAGCCAGCACCTGCACGATCCACGGCTTGAGCTCCTCAACCTCCTGTCTGCATACCAAACCATGCGTCCAATCGATTGAGCCCAAGACCGTAGGCGTTGCATCTGACGAAACAAACACCGCTGTTCGGAACTGTCCTCCAGGAAGTGCCAAGCGTTCCAAAGGTGCGAGCGCTTCTCGAATGTCTCCTCCAAACTTCTCTGCCCATGTCTCGGACCTCGAGCATGACCACCTGCAGTCCTCAAAGAGCATCCAGAGGTCCTCCCACGCTTGCTCCTCTTCGTGCACCGTCATGCACTTGGAAGGGTTCGCTCTGGCTCCTCCTTCTGATCCTCCAAGGAAGCGCTCTGCTGCCTTCAGCTCATTCTTGAGGCCCTTCACCACCACCGACCATCCTGTAGCGATGCCCCGAAACCTCTGCATTTCCTTGAAGGTGACCGTTTTCTCGCCAAAATTGAACTGCGGTTCCGCCAGCAAGTAGGCTCCTTTCAAAACTCGCGCCTCAGGCAATGACATCTTCTCCGACACTGTGTCGATGTTGACCCCCCACACTGTTTAGGAGTATGCAAATACGCCCTCCTCCGCGTCCTTCGCCGCGTTGATGGCGTTCTTGCCCAACAGCTGCTCCCAGAACTGGCCCATCTGCAAGCCGCTGCGCCTCTCTGAGTAACTCTTGTGCTGTGGATGGTGCCGTCTCTCCGTCACGTCCTCCATGCTCCGGACTCGGAATTCGGATGTTCTCGAAGATCTGCTGCGTGGGGCCTTGCACAATCTCCGCAAATTCCCTTTCTTGTCTGGTGTAGTCAACCTGTTCCATCTCCTTGGGAACGTCCCAAGTGACTCCTCCGGCTCTCTTCTCACCTTTCTCCTGGTCTTCTCCTTCCCCTGAAGGCTCTCCAGCTCTCCTCTTGCTCTGTCCATCTCTGATCTTGTCCTTCTTGCCATTGGCGACTTGATTCCTCAGGTCCTTAATCTTCTCCGCCGCTGACTCCTTGCTGTATTGCTTCATCCTCTTCAAACCTCCTCGACGAAGCAACTGCATCTGGACCGATGGATCGAGCGCTTCAAAGGCTCCTCGTAGTCCTTCATGAGCTCGTTGGCAAGAAGCCTGCGTGCATCCCATGTGTGAAAGGTAGCCTCAACAGTAGTTTGCCATCCTTGTTGGTGGGCGCACGGTCCCTTGCCCGGTTGGCCTCCTCTGCCGTCAACTTGGGCCCGATCAAAGTCTTGGCCGTGATCTTGTCGTCGGCCTTTCCTTCTGCAGCCTGCTGCCCGGGTCCTCGACCTTTCGACGCCCCCTCCCATGTCAGCTTCCAGAGCATCCGCTCTTGCCTCCTCTCAATGCGGGGCAAGACCTCCGAAGAAGACCATCCATCTGGATGATGCAAGTCAAAAGTTCGTGGAAGTTGTAGTGGAGGTTGACCGTGCTCATCTGGCATCAGGGCGTAAAAGCGCAAGTCACTCAACGTCATGGTTTCTCTGCCACTCATGCTCTTGATCTTTCTCAACTCGCCCTTGAGCTCCTCGACAAACCTCCAATGTAGCTCCTCCCAAACTTCACACAATATCTGTAAAGGCCACTTGTGAGGAGCTCCAAGATGCCACTCTCCCAAAACCTGAGCTGCATGCTCCCTCACAGACCTCCACTCCTTTCCATAGACCAAGCACCAGATGTCATTTTGCCGCTTGACTCGGTTGCACCAATCCTCATATCTGGTCGGGGCAGGTGGTCGTTGCTCCTCCTTCTGGACTCCACTGCGTACTGATCCAGCTCCGCATCGGTGCAGGGGACAAAGTCTGATGCTGACAGGGCATAGCGTTCCTGGGTTCCCCAGTGTGGGCCAGCAAGGCCAACCGTGCTGTGACCTTCTGGCGGAAGCCTGCATTCCTCAACTTTGTTGATGCCCCCGCCTGTGCGCTAAGCAGCGCGTTGGCCAAGTTGGCTCCATACTCATTGGCCGCCACCTCCACAGTGTACTGCCCGCAAGCTCTGAGCAAAAAGACCAACTCCTCGGACGTCTTTCCCAAAGCCTTCAGTGTCCCGTGATTCACATTGTTGGCACTCTCGTTCTGGTTCTTGACAAGGTTGGCCAGCTCCGCGGTCTGATACTGAATGGCTTTGGCAATCTCCGGCTAAATAAGTGGCTAAATAGCCGCGAAATAGCTGCTAAATGGTTGCTAAATAGAACAAGGAGGTGAACGGATTCATGTGACTTTGGAATATTCTAACTGCTAATGTTTTCCGAATATTCTACGTCGAGCGGTGTATCATTTTGGAATATTCTAACTGCTGATGTATTTTTTTGGGTTATTCTAACTGCTAGGAGGTTCTTATATATAATTCATGTTTGGAATTTATTTCAACCATTTGGTCGAAACGCAAGAAGCTCACAAATGGGATTTAGGGGGCAACAACTAGCATATTCACACGAAGACAGGGGATTATATAATAATATGTATGTATATATCAATATATATATATATATACCATAAGAATTTTATGTCTATATCACTAATAGCGACGGACTGAAACTTAAAATGCCTTGGGCCAATGAAATACTGAAAGGGTCTCCAAATATGGCGATAATCATGCGCACTTAGAATGCCCCATAGTGCCCCAAAAAAAGTCAAGCTCGCAGGTTTGATTTTTTGGTGATGGAGGCATTCTAAGTGACCCCCATTTTTTTTTTCGGAGGCATGCTAAGTGCGCAGGTAAATAATTTTACAAACACGGAGGCGTTCTACTAAGTTTCAGTCCGTCGCTATAGTCTAGTGTA